GCATCAAGTCCCGAGGACCCAAAGTGAGCTAGTCTACCCTTTTGATAGTCCTAGCTGCTCACTGGGGACTGTAAGACCACCTCAGGTTGAATGTATTGGGTTAGTTTCTGAAAATTAGGCCTGCTAATACTAACTGAGATTCTGTGGTAGGTGTTGTCTTTTCTTAAGTTCAAACTGACACAAGTAACAATTGATCTTACACATGCCAATTCTGTTTATGCTGTGTAACCAAGCCATGTTGAAGGTTGATATAAACCTCTTACTAGTTTACATCAATCCATGTGTGAATTCACTTTCTGGTGGCGATTTATTCCATTTAAGAGTGTACTGTGGTGCCAGCAGGGGTTGATCTTTCAGAGTGTGGTCCAGATCCACAGGGCACCTGAAAACAATTCAACAACTCCTAAGGGGGTAGTGCTACACTAGTCCTATGGGAAGGAGCTCCCCTCCAATGACTGTGCTTGTGTTGGTGGAGTATTTCGTAAGTCACAAGTTTAGGTATTCAACCACTGGTAACCTCAGAAGAGCCCTGAAGTCTCCAGAAGTGTGATTTCCAGCCCTGACCATATGCAAGAAGACAGAAGTTGGCCTTGCAGTTGGCTTCAGACAGAACATAATTAATTAACCTTACCAGGGGCAACAGGATACACATGCAAACAGGCAGGCTCAAAAGTCAAAGCCAGTATAGTCTGACCAATAGAAGAGAAGTCATATTTGGACTTGCAGGATATTTTTTTTTTCAGCCAACTATATAACTTTAGTAAAACCATATATCAAACTGATTTAAAGTAGGATATGATTATTTTCTATGGTTATTGTTCTCTATGCTACCTAAATAAATCCCACTCTTCTCAGAAAGGAATCGTCATCTGTTTTCTCTAACGTTCTGGAATACAGTATGCTAACCTGTACATCGGGGGTCAAATTAAACACAGCTCTATTTTTGCTCATGAATGTAGCTGCTCGATCCTATCATTCTCCCCTCCATATTATGAGTTCTTTCCAGTTTCAGGATTTCACCAAGCATACCCTCAGTAAATTATGGACTGTAAGACAGGCCTTTGTGACTTACAGTAAACCACCTGAGTCTCGCAGCTTGAGTGCGGTTTACGGCCTCTCATAAACTTTGTTTAGCTACTGACACATCGTGTGACACCCCCCGTATGAGTGCCTGGGACACATATTGCACAAATATGTTCCTTGCTCTATATTGTTCCCCAACAGTAGTAAGCACGGATCATGAAGTCATACATTTCCAACAACATAATTCAAGATTCCTGGCTGTCATGCATCCTGTGATACCATTATTCTTTATTCCCTTCTTTGTCCATTGGTTGGAGAGGTGAATGATAATAAGTCTGGCCTTGAGTAGCTTTTGTTAGCATTCAAAGGGAATTGTATGGGGCAAGAAAATCAGCTCAGACGTAGCAGCATAGGTCATTCTGTATTCACTAAAAAATATTAATATGTAACGCCAAGCAAAATGCTAAATTTACTGTAATAAAAATCATTACACAATTTTAGAGATGTGCACAGGATAAAAATTAGTTTAGTTTCATTTTGGATTCATTCATTATGGTAATAATTTCTTTTCATCATATTTTGTTATGTTTGAATGATTTGTTTTTGGAATTCGTTTCATATATTCGTTATTTTCAAATTGATTCAAAATTAGATTTTTTAATAATTGGAATTTTGGAACACAGCTATATTATTTCTATTTTATTCTATTCCAAATATTGAATTTCAAAATTGGAATTTCAGAAGATGGCTATATTCTTTCTATTCTATTCTTTTTTCTATTTTATTCCTTTCCTTTTTTTTCTATTCCATTTGTTCTATTCTGTTCTTGTATATTCTATTCTATGTATTCTATTCTTTTATGGTCCATTCTATATTATTTTATTCTGTTTTATAAAGCAGTCTAAGTAGGAACCAACACCTTTTTTTCACTTTTATACCTTACTGTGATTATTGCATTATGTTTCCATTTCTAATTCTTATTCATTTTCAAATTCTAAATCATTTTTTAATTAATTTTCTCTTTTTCAAACATTTTATTGATTTTCCAAGCTAAAGGCATGCATAGGACATTCAAATACATGTACAGGAATAAAGGAGAACATGTTGCCCAAAGGCAAGAAGGAGAATGTCATACAAAAACATACAACAGGCAACCATAGCGAAACATTAGGGAATAATGCAATACAAAGCGAGGTAAAACATGGTTATGGTTTAAATAGGATGTACTGCTCCCCGGAACTAAAACACTAAAAGTTTCATGGAAGGCAAAGGAAAGAAAAACATGAGGGAGTTTTGAATTAATTTTCAAATATGAGCTGGGATACTTCATTTTGTTATAATTTATGTAGAATTCGTTGAAATGAGTAATTATAGACCTGTTAGTTTAACATCTATAGTTGGGAAGATATTGGAGAGTTTAATAAAAGACCACATAGATGAGTTCTTGCTGGAAAAAAAAAAATATTTTAAGCAGCAGACAGCATGGATTCATGAAAGACAGAAGTTGTCAAACAAATCTGATTTCTTTTTATGAGCAAAACCTTGGACAGAGGGGTGGCGGTGGACATGGTATACTTGGACAGAGAGGGGTGGCGGTGGACGGTATACTTGGACAGAGGGGGGCGGTGGACAAGGTATACTTGGACAGAGGGGTGGCGGTGGACTTGGTATATTAGGACTTTGCCAAAGCGTTTGACACAGTTTCCCACTCATGGCTAATGTGTAAGGTAAAGTCTACAGGCTTGGAAAAATCCGTATGTAAATGGATAGAAAATTGGTTAAAAGATCGTATTCAAGAGTAGTGGTTAATGATTCATACTCTGAATGGTCTGGGGTTGTCAGTGGTGTACCCCAAGGTTCAGTGTTGGGACCCTTACTTTTTAATATACTTATAAATGATATAGGGTCTGGGATTAAAATTACCATTTCAGTCTTTGCAGATGACACCAAGCTGTGCAGTGGAATAATGTCCTTACAGGATGTCTTCAATTTTCAAGCCGACCTCAATGCTCTGTGTAATTGGGCAACTATGTGGCAAATGAGGTTTAATGTTGATAAATATAAGGTTCTGCACTTGGGGGCTAAGAATATGCATGCATCATACATACTAGGGGGGTACAACTGGGGGAATCAATGGTGGAGAAGGATCTGGGAGTTCTGGTAGATCACAAGCTTAATAATGGCATGCAATGCCAAGCTGCGGTTTCTAAAGCGAGCAAAATCCTCTCTTGTATTAAAAGGTATAGACTCCAGAGAGAGATATCATATTACCCCGGTACAAATCATTCGTAAGACCTCATCTGGAATATGCAGTGGCATGGAGGAGATCAGCTATGAGGAAAGATTAAAGGAACTAAATTTATTCTCTCTTGAGAAGAGGAAATTAAGGGGGATATGATCTCCATTTATAAATACATCAGTGGTTCATATAGTGAACTCGGTGTAGAGTTATTCACCCTGAGGTCATCACAGAGGACAAGGGGGCACTCTTTATGTCTGGAAGAAGAGATTTAATATCCAAATATGGAAAGCTTTCTTCACAGTGAGAGCTGTGAAAATGTGGAATAGACTCCCTCAAGAGTTGGTTCTGGCCAGCTCAGTGGATTGCTTTAAAAAAAAACCTGGATTCTTTCTTAGATACACAGAATATAGTTGATCCAGGGAAATCTGATTACCTCTCAAGGGATCGGGGAGGAATTTTTTTCCCCTGCAGGAGCAAATTGGATCATGCTTTGCTGGTTTTTTTTTGCCTCCCTCTAGATCAACTGTGGGTATAGGATTATAACTTTTTTTGGTTGAACTGGATGGACCTTTGTATTTTTTTCAGCCAGACTAACTATGCTACTATTGTGACTCAGAAATTTGGATACATCCAAATCTCCAAAATAACAAAAATTTCATTTGAATTTTGTATCATAATGAAACGAATTGCAAAAGTCAATATGACATATCAGCCTGCTATTACTAATGTTTCTGACATCCCCGTGGTGCTGTTATCCCTTTATTTGCTGTGAAAGGCCAACATTCCTAATTTACAGCTGCCGAATTTGGACTCTCCATATTTATCCATGCATTATTCTATCACCTCTCTGCGTCCACCGTTAAGGTAATGTTGGCAAAAGAGAGCAAATGAGTGAGAGCCAGAAGGCCTGTGAGTGGTGATATAAGGGTAGAGACCACACACCTCCATGAAAGGCAGAAGCCTAAGCAAGGTAACGGTGGCCCTATGACAACCAAAATGATAATCAAAGTTATGGAGAAGCAACATTTATTACAAAAAAACAAGGACTGCTTAATAGGGCTAATCATACAGGCATCAATGGGAGAAATGGTGCCCTGTTGTTGTCAGTAGCAGGAATTATGCCTCATTGTTAGGTGTCAGTGGGAGGAATAGTGTCAGGTATCAGTGGGAGTAAAGGGTAAGCGAAGGGTGGCATCTGTCCCCCAGGCCGCAGTTTGGAGACTGCTGCCCTAAAGTGAACATGTGGCCTAACAAGCAGAACAGTTGAAACAAGCCTTCACTAACCTTTCTACCTGCATGTACTGTGGAGCAATAGAAGCACAGAAGCCTTTGGTCAGCAGCTCAGCTCCCTACGATCACCCCTCCAAGCACTGACTTAGAAGTCTTCTAATCTATAATGTAAACATAGAGCAGGACCTTCTGGGAAGGAGCAATGGAAGCTGATCTGGTGAGAGAATCAACTAAACTACACCAATGCTTTTGCTGTGAACTTTGAGGTTGAATTGCTCCACAGAAGCTGAAGATATAGATGTTAGTGAGAGTTTGGTTTAAAGCTAATTTATTGGAAATATAATTTTGGATCTTAGTGTATTAAGCAGTAAAAGCAGTTTCAAAACAATATTGTTTACTATACCCCTCAACAATGTAGTCCTAATAAAGACTTTTGTGTATTTTGCTTTAAAAAAATATATGGTTTGGGAGCAGGGACGGACTGACCATTTGGAAACTCGGGCACTGCCTGAGGGCCCGGGGTCTGTAGGGGGCCCCATGAGATGCCCCTGGTACCTTTTTCATAGGCTTTTTGAGTTTAAGCAAGGACACAGGGTCCCCATGATCCCATATTGCCCGGGGGGCCCATGAGTTGTCAGTCTACCCCCTGTTTGGGAGTCTTAAATTATCTTTCAAGTCTATAATGTGTATATTGTCAGGAAGAAATGTCCTAATTATTTTTTGCCATCAGGTGGGTGAAAAGTCATCTGAACTTAGTGAAGAGGTTAAGGATTTAACGGTGCAGTTAGTGGCTGGTGGATAGAGCCATGGCGATACAGACAGAAATGGGCTTATTCAATATAAAATGCAAGAAGCAAAGAGCAGTAACCCATGTCAGTCATCAGCAATTACCTGAAGCCCAGCTGTTACAAAATGAATTCTGGTTGGTTGCTTGCTGCTTTTGTGGCAAGTAAATGAATAAACCTCCCAGTAATGCTATTACTAGGCTGCAGCTAGAGGGAGTTTAAGTGGTTAATATTCATTTTTTTCCCCATTTGCATGCACTTTCATTGGGTGAACTGCTATGAAAAATTTGTTTTTTATAAATACACCCCTAGGTGTCCCTGGAAAATGTTTTTAGTGTGTTGGAACTTTATACTCCATGCTACCTCTCTGCTCCACCAAGTAAATATTTTCTGTATCATAATTAATAGTAGAGCCTTGCTTGTGTATGCTACCTATAGTTCCGTGCACAGAGATAACCCTCTGGAATTCTTCCTCGGAAAATGAGAAAACAGAATGAATGGCACTTTGTTACCGGTGAAGTGTTATCTCCTGTTTCTCATGGTGAGATAAGGGCATAATTAAATCAGAAGGAAGAGACACTAATAAGCTTCCTGTGTGGATTCCACCAGTGTAGTATTGATTAGAAGCACTGCATAATGAATATGAGAATTTCCTAAATGTGTTTCTGTTATCTGGAACTGTTTGCAACTAGAAAAAAAAAACCATACCTTATTAAAGATATATTTCAGTCAAATATGAGAATGTTGTATTTAAACTTACTCAGGGGACACAGCCCAGCTGCTGTGTGGTTCTAATTCATCATCTGCACATGGCTACCCAGCTAGATCATTCCCTATGGCTGCCAAGATTCTTAAATCCCCGGGGGTGCCCTGAGTCTGTGATAATACAGGCCAAGGTGTTCCCTGGTGCCAGCAATGCCCTCAGTCTAAGTGCATAAGTCCTTCTCACACAGAGGGGAATGATAGGTAGGTGACACATCCACAAATGACATGACTAGGCTGGCCATTTCAGAAAACACCTACAGGATATGTAGTAAAGAGTGGAGCAAAGATACAAAGGTGTCACTATATAAGCTAGCCATTTTATCTCACCCTATCCCGCGCAGTGACAATTGACATTGAGGTCACCTGCAGAATCGGCAAGGTCTGCATTTGGAACACTACTGACCAACGTGTGGGACCGCCGTGGAATAAGCCTTGCCACAAAGCTCAAAGTCTCCCGAGCAGTAGTGCTAACTACCCTGATGTATTGCAGTGAGACTTGGACTTTATACAAGAGGCATGCTAGGCAATTGAACCACTTCCACATAACCTGCCTCCGTAGACTTCTGAGGATCTGTTGGCAGGACAAGGTGCCAGATACTCAATTCCTCTCCAGAGCAGGACTGCCATCAGTTCACACCCTGCTGATGAAAGCCCAGATACGCTGGGCAGGCCATGTTACAAAGATGCCAGACCTCCGAATCCCTAAACAGCTCCTCTATGGTGAGCTGTCTCAAGGAACTCGATCGCACGGGGGACAAAGGAAGCAATACAAAGACACACTGAAAGTCTCCTTCAAGTCCCTGTATATAGACATCACCTTCTGGGAAACCCTGGCACAAGATCGATTGCCATGGTGCACGTTGATCCACCAAGTCTGCCAGACATTTGAGGAGAGAAGAACAACAACCACAGCACAAAAGAAGCAAACACTCCGCAAAGCCAGAGCTGCAAATGCTGCAACAGTGGTGCCCACATATGTCTTCCCGACATGTGGCAGAACATTTCGTGCCCGTATAGGCCTTACCAGCCACCTACGGACACACCGTGGACAGCCCGCTGCCTTTTAGATGTCAAGGTCCTCTTCGAACACGATGGACAAACATCATCATCATCAGCCATTTTACCAGTGTTTTAATTATGGCCTTATTTAAAGTGGTATTAAACCCAAAATCAAGAATGTAATACAGTATATTACAGCTTATCAATCATTAGATGTGGTGTCTGCATTAGTTTTCGTTTTTTAGGTGGTTTTCCCCTCTGCTTTCACCTAGTGATCTGGCCAGTAACACCACCACTCCTGTATTAGGGCCCAAAAAAAGGTTCTTTCCTTTGTGTCAGGCTCCTTAGAGGAGGTGCGGGTGAAGGGAAGCCAACATGGTCCTTCAAAGACAGAGAACATGTGAGGTTGATCAGGGAAGTAAGACATTGCAGGAGGTTGAGAAAAGCCATATGACACAGAGGTAAGTGTAGTGGTGTGCTTTCCTGGAATAGGAGGGATGTTATGCTGTTTGGTGCACTATTCTGGGAAAAAAAGGGAACCCAACCGCTGATAAACTGCTCAAAGACAGCAGATTCTTGTACAGGTGGACCAACCTAGAAGTACATTTAGCACTAATGCTTCTTATCCAGCTGACGGCTACGACTTTATGTAGGACTGTCTATTTCACTGACTTGAATCACTGAATTTGTATCTCAGACTTTTTCTTTTTGAAGAGTAAGATATAGACCCATGTCAAGTTTTTATTGCCGTATGTCTCCCTACTGGAAAAATCCACCCCCTTTATTTGTCTTGATGGACATCATGAGAGTAGAAAGTGACTAGAAATTTTTCAAAAACGAAGACCCCTAGTATGAGTTGTCACCACCCCTAGAAAGAAAAATTCAAAAGACTAGAAAAAGGGGGGATGGGGTGGGGGGGTGTAAATGTTTCAATGGTGATACCCATCCCAATGTGGATGGTATTTTCCCTCAGTTTTGGAGAGGTTTCATCTCACTCGCTGTTGTATCTTTTTTTATAGAAAATCCCCTAGGAATACTGAGCCGGTTCTAACCATTCCATGCTCTATCCAAAACTAGTAAAAATGGGCAGAGATTTAAATTAAAGCTGAACTCTAAATAGAAGAGGTTTGTGTATTCTTATGTCATTCTTGGTGTGTTTTGTGTATTCCAGATCTGTGCAGTAGTCCAGGGTGAGACTTTGCCTCTGTACAGAAGCTTCCTGTAATAAAGACCGGACACTGCTGCTTTCCCTCTTTGTGCAGGATGACTGGTTTTTGTCCCATGACAGTGGGGGGCTGAAGAGAGAGAGAGCCAGAGCGGCTGTAATACAGTTAGAGGAGGATGGCTGAGGGCACTACACAATCCCCACTCTCTGCCCACCTCATTTCTTCTCCCCACTACAGTAGACAGAGAAAAGGACCAAATGTGAGAAGGAGGACAAGGGGATTGTGGGACATTTAGTCCCAGAAGGCTGGAGACCCCACTTGGACTAACGGGGAAAACTACAGCCCTCAGCATGCCCTGCTAGAACAAGGGAGGAGAGAGCCAGGAGCCTGGAAAAAGTAGAGCAGGGAGTGCGGTGGCAGGGGGACAGAGGAGAATGAGGCAGCTGGAAACCCGCGTATATCGGCGGATGTCAGCGGTTGATGCCAGGAGGTTGAGAACCCCACACAGCCCAGAATGACCAGGGAGAGAGAGCCAGGTTTCCCCAGCACCATCACAAAGCAGAGAGCCGGAGCCACTGCCAAGGTACAGGGGTGCTGCACCATGGACTAGATTCACCCTGACAACCCTGAGAGAGCAGACACCCCTCTGGGAGAAGGGGAAATTGTCACTGCTATGTCACTGGGTCTGGTGAGGGGGCCTTGTTACTTGCGATCTCTGCTACAGACTGAGCCATTAGGAGCTACCTAACCTGCCATGCTATAGCTCTAATACTGCCTGCAGGCCTTATTGTCAGCCGCAACACAGGGAGCCAACGAGCTCCAACGATAAGCCGGTGAAGACTTGGGACTAAAGTCTGCCCGTAAACTTAACTGCCCCAAGGCCTTAGCCTGTTTACTAGTTAAAGCAATACCCTACCTTTGTCCATTCATTTTGAGTGCACTCAAAGAGCTGCTATCATTCTAAACGCATTTAGAGCGCGCATATACATTATACATTGTTCATTGCTGGCTCGCTACTTGATATATTGATTCTGGCTAATAATATAGATTCATACTTCTTTCTTTTTTACTTGGGTATAGTCCTTTCACCCTTTTTAGAAGCCTGTGTGTTAACTGGCCTGCTGTGTGTTCAATTCAGTTTAAACTGCCATTTATGCAAATTCGTATTAATACATTAAGAGCGCATGTTTCTTTATATGCAATGCCCCACAGCCAAGCAAAAGGTATTTTACACTTGTGTTGTTACTTGTGCTCACAGTGATTTTATTTAACCAGGTTGTCAGAGGGCTAAGGCTGTTCTTGGAGTCAAGGCGCAGAATAGGGAACCAAAAATTACCAAGCGGCTCCTATGGGGGTGGCGCCACAATAGCTATTAAGGAATATACTGTATTTAAATGAAAGGTTTTGTGCCTGTAGTTTAGCGTTAAATCCATTTTTGTTCAGTTTGTATCAAAGGAAATTCCGTCTGTGAAAGGGAAGCTGACTGTATACAATTGGTTCTGGATGCTAGCGTAGATCAGGTGGTTGTCTTCTATTTCTATTTCGTAATAATAGATTAAGAGTGTGCGTGCTCACTCCGCTCCTCACAAGACCTCCTTCTCTCTAGTTCCCTGGTCTCCTCCTCCCATGCCCGCCTCCAGGATTTCTCCAGGGTGTCACCCATCCTCTGGAACTCCCTGCCCCAACCCATCAGATTATCACCTACTCTCCTCTCCTTTAGGCGCACCCTGAAAACCCATCTCTTCAGGGAAGCCTACCCCACCCCCTGCTAACTTGCCGACCTCCTCCACTCTTCCTACCACTCCATCCCCCACAGCTTTCTCCTCCTGTGCCACCATCCCCTCCCTCCTAGATTGTAAGCTCGAAAGAGCAGGGCCCTCGATCCCCTCATGTTTTGCATTGTATTGGTATTG